TCAAGAAATTCAAATGACAGGAATAACTAAGCAATTGTCAGTTACACAGGTACAACGCTGTCATTAAAGGAGATAATTTTGAATTACATTCAAAGAGCTAAAGAACTGCAGGAATGTTGTGCAGTCAGTTGCACAAACAAGCAGATTTGGTGGGCCAGAGGACATGCTCAGTGGAAGGTGATTCTTCCACTTTGCTTCCATCTCCCTTTCCCTGTTTCTCCAAACCAGTCCTTTTTCTAACACCAGCAGGTTACCAGCCTCCTTGCATTTCCATTAATTCTTCGTTTGGGACAACTTTATTCACGGTAGCGGCTACACTTAATTCTCAGTCTTGCAAAGAAGAGCATAGTGAACTCTGAAAGGGGGATTTCTCTGAAGGTATTCCTACTCCACCCTTTGGTTCTCACTACTGGTTCATAGCTGTCAAGTATTCTTTTAAGCTTTTTCTGTCAATCTCCATCCTATTAAAAGCTGTTTCTGCTTTCCACCCAGATGTTTAGAGTACAAACTCCAAACTTTGCCTCCTTTAGAGATGCAGGAGGTTTTGCCCGAGAATGTGATTCTAGTTATTGCAGGAACACACTGCAACCCCGTTGAGACTATTTGTTGCACTACTGCATTTTGTGGCACGTGTAGAGTTTGTCTCTGCAGTAGTTGCTAGTTTGTTAATGCCACAAACGCTGAATTAAGTTAAAATTAGGATGGTCTTGTAAAAGTAGATTTGGTTTCTTCTGGACCAATTATTAAAGCCTTGAAACAGGCCAGAGTGCTGGAAGTACTGACGTGTATAGAAGGAAACGCACATTTAAATTACCTTACACCCTTGGGGTTTTAGCGCCCCTCTCCAAAGGCATTCATCTCCCATGATCAGCGAGGGATTTTTGCTGACTGTTGTATACCCTTTCGTAGTATGGCGGTAGACTTTAAGACTCTGGATAAAGCACAATCTGTGGAGTCATCTTGCTGTCAGGTGCTCCTACCCTGCAGAGAGCTGCAAAAAGATATTTGCTGAATCACCCTGCCTTGATTTGAACACGCAGCCCAGCATACCAGAGCCTGGGGAACCAACACTGAGACGGGATTATGGCAGAGCTGCTGAACAGACGCAGTAGACACTGGAGAGAAAGTTTAGGCTGAGATCTGTAACTGGCATTAAAACGTCTGTGTCTTCTGCCCCTGGATGGGTATTAATGGAAACTGCTCTCACTTAGTGAGATGCCAGACATTCACAGCCTAATTTGAGAGATAAGACTTGGTTCATCAACGACTTTTTCTGGAGGGGGAGGAAGAACTTTGATTGCTAAGTGGAGTCTTGGTACTAAATAGCTAATGTGCTTGTTAATTAATTTGTTCTGTCTCAGGAGACATGTTAAGTACTATGCATGTGGTACAGTGTCCTGTATAGAAATTGCCCTGTGAAATCAGAGAGAGGAGTAAAAATTCCTTTCTGTATTTGCATGGCAGAAATTGTGTAATTAAAAAGGGAGCTAAAGTTGGTCCAACATCTGAAAATGTTTAAACTTAGCTTCAAATGTAGAAAAAGAAGCTGAAGGTATGTACTGCAAGTGGCATGGATTTGCTTATTTGCACACTTAAAATGCATCAGTGGTTTCCTGGAACAGCAGACAGCAAATACAAACATTAGGATAAAGAGGTCAAAGAAAGTATAATAAATGTAATTATGCACTCATTAGTTTAAAGTCTTTGAAAAGACGGGTGGCAACAAGACCAGACTGAACAATTCACAGATCTTTTTCTACCAGTATCTGAACAAACCGAGTGATGGAGGGACTTGTTCTCTTTACTGGAGCAGTATTCACATTTGACGTTAATGTGAATATTCACATTAGAAAGGCTGAAAGGCACACTGAGCCAGACAGAAACAAAATTTGCTGCTGCCAAGTTTGGCCTTCAGCCAAGGGTGCAATTAAAAACAGAACCACCACACTTTTACCTTGCCTTGCTATCTCTGAATAAATGCTTTGATACGTGAGAAATAAAAAGCTCCATGTTGTACAGACCAACACAAGGTCTGTGTTCCAGAAAATTCAAATATTTTAAAAATCCAAGATTTTGCTATGGGGATTTTCATAATGCTTAGAAAATCACATTCCAGACTGGCTTCCCTGAGCGTGTGTGTGCATACATGCACTTTTTAAAATAATAATAAAAATACGGTGGAGTCTGTCCTCTCCCTTTTCCTTGCTGAGACAGACAGGTGACTAAGGCACTGAGGGCAGACAGTGCTGTTGTGTTCCCTTCTCGTTGCCAGGTCACTCTCACTCTGCAGATGCAGTGGAATTCACAAGCGCCACCTTGGTGGACTGCCAGGGAAGAGGTGCTGTACTGCGCGTTCAGGGATCGCACAGATCAGCTGGCACACCTTCACTGAAACAGGGATCTTCAACAGGGCGCATCCACGCCTGCCTGCAGCATTCTTTGTTTGCTAGCAAGTTTTCCTTCACCAGGATTTTATGCATACTGTTATTTTTTTTGCTAAATTGTGGCTGCAGAGAGGATAGAAGTAACTGCCTGTAGTAGCTCTGGAGCTTGTTTTCTCTTACAAATTCTAGGAGACTAAGTCTACTTTTCTGACTCTTTGCCAAGCTCATTGTTTTTATTAGCCTGCTGCTTTTGGAAAAAAAGGAACTCAAAATATGGTCAAAACTCTGATTTTATTTGGAGAGAATGAATTAACTTCCTGTTTGTGTAAGAAGGCAAAAATATTTTAGCAGCTTCTTTACCGGAGGAGCTGCCAATTTGTGTCCTTTTTTTTTTTAATAGAAAATAGTTGGGCCTGTCAGCTAACTCACAAATGCTTCATGAAAGCAGACATTTTCCTTGCTGACAATGCTGGCTTGCAAGGACAGCTGAAACTGATAAGAAGAGAAAATTGCAACTGGAAGACCAGTTCAAGTATGGGGAAAAAAAGTTCAAATATGGGAAGGTTTTGAGGGCTTTATTGCTGGAGGAGTCAAGTGACAAGCGTGCTTGAAGAAAGAAACTTTGAAAATGCATGAATTAGAATAGCAAAGCACTATAAAAAGCAGGGAAGAATAAGTAGCTGTATGGAAGAACAATGATCACCCAAGACACAAAGTGAGCCTGAAGAGGAGAGGATTTCAAAGGCTCTGATCCTTACGATGTCTATGAAAAGAATCCCACTGAACACAATCAAAAGTCTCCTAAAATCAAAGAGAATCCAAAGATTGGAATGCTGTTATGCTGCAGCAGAAAAGAAAGATGACTTTAGTAGCACTGATGTTTTGGATACGGATTCTTTTAAATCATTTTAGTTTAAAACAAATTGACAAGAAATGGGAAGAATGAGCTAAATCATTCTGGAAGTAGAATAAGACCTTAAGTACAGCACAGACCGTTACCTGACATGACTGTGATTTAAAAAAAAACGCTAAGGGAGGAAGCAGTGTGTACATGTGGGAAGCATACAGAAAGGCTGGAAGATAACCTTTGGAGAATGCGAGTCTGAAATCTCCTAAGATCTATGCAAGGAGAGTTGTCCCAGAAACAAAATGAAGCATTTGGGAAGGGAAAAGGGCGGGAGTTTTTTAAAATTCTTCTACACTGATGTAGTAGATAAATCATGGAATTGGATGAGGTTCTACTGAAAACATAGCAGAAGAAAAACCAGTGTGTGTGGGTGAAAGCCAGGATGTTATCATGGAGATGTCATAACTACAATCCAGGACAGCAATGGATTAACAGCATCTTCTCCACAGTTACATAGCTTTAAGCAAGTGCTAACTCAGATCACCGAAACAGAATTTCTGTAAGCAAATTACTGTCACTATTTGACCTTACATAGCAACTTCAGAAGCAGCCTGGGCATGTTCCATCCCTTCATGGGTATCCTGAGTGCACATGTGTCTTGGGGAAGCGTGCTGGGAAGCAAACGATCAACTGATAATGTTGAAGGGGGTTAGAATCCAGAACAGTGAAAAAATGCATCTGACCTCTTGTTCACAGACCAAAGGATGGGGAAGTTGCCCTTGTGGCTGTGTCTGGCTGTTTTAAGTACCACTGAGCAGTTTAAACATGCATTTGTACAATTAATTAAAAATTAGCAGAATAATCAAATATGCAAAATGAGTTAAATTCATAAGAGCAAGCTGAAGGAAAAGCTCTATAAACCACATTTCAGAAAGACAGTTGTGGAATAAAGATAAGCTCTGTATTCTCCCCACTATACAAAGGTCACATACAGCTTATATACGTTACTTTATAACGGATTTTATTTTCTGCATACAAGATGCATGTCCTTTACTGACCTGAACATTACATATGTTTTCAAAGGCAAATACAGACAAACTAGAAAAAAACCCCACTACTACACCTTTCTGTTAGTCCAAATATGTTAATTCCTCAGGAGGGATATAAATATAAAAATATAAAGCAAAGATGTTTTAACCCTTAATTAAGGAAAGGAACATAGCCTAATGGTTACAGCATGAACTTCAGAGATGAGAGAACAGAGGTGTTGCAGTATGACCTTCTGCAAGTCACCCTGAGGCTTAAGAATACTTAATGAATACAGTTCTGCATATTGGAGACTTAGCTGTTATATGCAGTTGTGAAGTAGGTGAGATATTTTTTAGGATTTCATGAACTTTAGTTCATTTAGTAGCTACTGCCAGTGAAATGCATTATTAGGCAACCATCCTTGCAGACAACACGACCATACTACATCAGAAAGATTATTAACTCAGGGTTAAATTCTCATGTTAAAAACATCAGTCTTGACTAATGAGCAATGTACAGCTGTATTCCCTAACTGCAAACCAATCCACAAACTGTACCTTAGTTAGAAACCCTCTGTTAATTCCCCATGGCTCTGAACAGGTAATTAGGTACTGAGTACTTTGGGTAATCAGGTGCTTTGGCAGCACTCCTTGTGCCTTGGAGGGATAGCTCTGAGAACACACCACCCTCTGCCATTAGCCCTTCATGTCTTTTCCCACCTGTTAGTTCAATGAAGGTGCATTTGCTGTGTACTTACCCACTTGACTGCAATGCAGGTTGAGCAAAGATGATGATCAGTTCCCTTTTGCAACAAAGGGACTGTTAGCTTCTACTATGCAAAGTGTTCTGGGTATACTTATCAGAGTTTTTAATAGCAGCAGCTAGAGTAAGTATCATAGTGGAACTACCCACTTTTCCTGCTTATGTAAAGATACTAAAGTCATCTGGAAAATACTGTTCTTGCTGTGGGACAAATTACTCAGCTCCCATTTAGTAGCAGATTTTGCTGACTGTGACATATTCCACAATGCAAGCTACAGCGGGTCTTAGATGGAGATCAGTATGCAGCACAAACTAACCACAGCCTGGACAGGTATAATAAACAAGAATCCTTATGTGGATTTGCTGACTGAGCAGCACCTTCCCAAATAGAACTGGCAACCATTCAACCTGCTACTGTTGTTGTGAAGAAACATCTTACAGGTTGGCTTTTTTTTAAGAATGTATTTTTATTGACTTTCCAGATGACATTATTAATCCACGTAAACAGGATTTTTACTTTGCACATAATAGAAAGTGTAAACAGAAATTTGAGCATCAGTAGACACTCACTTCTTCAATAGTGACCCACCACTCGCCTTCTAAAAAAAAGTCCTGTTATCAGTTTGCGCTTCCATTCTGAACCATTTGTAGATACTCCCTGTATAGCTTTTCTTGGGTTTCATAAAGTTTCTTTAGCTTCTTAATTTGTCCTTTGCTGAGTTCTTTGCCTTCTGTATCATGGGTGGGAAATCCCTGAAATATTAAAAAAAAAAAAAAAAAAAAAAGAGTATTTAAGATAAATTCTTGGACTGCTTTTGCTCCTTATGGAATCGTGTTTTAATGAGACAGGGGGATCATGCCTTAAGGATGGGGTGCATCTTGGCTAATTTTAGTCACCTAGAAGTTTGACAACTAACTGACTATTTGTGTGTGTTCTCTTCCTAGTCAATGAAGGGGCGAAGGGCGTATTTATTTTCTGTACTAAATAAAGGAAGCTAAGACAACTAACTTCTAGATGGTTATTGTCAAGAGAATAATGACTAAGAGACCATTTTAAATCATACTAGCATATTGAATCCAAGGCAGTAAGATATTAGTGTTCTCGATGCAGAAAGTATGATCAGAGTTTTTATGGACATTCTCCTTGGCTTGCAGGGGTATTTCCAGTATTTACATTCTCCGTTCTTACTTGCCCCCAGGGCCTGAATTTGCATGGGTGAAAAGGACAGGCAGAAGCAGGAACAATGTCCCAAATCCAGCACTGAAGAAAGAGTGCTTTATGTTTTCCAAGTGACACCTTTTATCCTGAAGGGGAGAAATCAAGAGCAAAATTATCTGTACAGCCCCTTCAGAGATCCTTTGCCAGGAGAGAGCAGAACAGTGGGCAGAACCAAAAAGGTGGCACAGGACCTCTCCGAAAACCACCAGTTCTGGCAGAGTTGGGGAGTTTGTACTTGCAAGTGAATTCCCTGCCTTGCAACAGGGTAACAAACCTGTGAACAAACATCATACATGTTCCGACCCACAATATCTACAGGGAATTCCGCTCTGCAATGAGAGGGGCCAAAGGAGACCAATGTACAATGAAAATACCCTTGAAATGATGGCTAACAATTAGAGAAATTTGCTCCCCAAAGCAAGGTACGTGCAATAAAATTAATATGTCGCTTTTCTTTCTCTCCTTCCCTTCTCTCACTACGTTAATAGCACTACCCTGAAGGTTCTGGAAAAAGATCAGCTACGTACGTATATACAATTAAGTACGTGCAACAGGGGAAGGAAAACCACTTCCCATCTAAAGAAAAGTCTCTTACGTTTTCATCAAACATGGAATATTTGTCATGTTCCGATTTAAACATTTCATGTGGTGGAATCTTCATTTTTGCCAGTTTTGCTGCCTGTAACATAAAACGTGCATTGACATCACAGTTAATTACTGACAACCTGTCACATATGCAAAAGGAAAAGTAGACTATGATTTGCAAATCAAAGAGCATTTAATTTAGAATTGTTTATCATGTGAAAACAAACTTCCAGCAAGGAACAACTCGGTAAGTCTTAGCTGTGCTTGTCTGGGGGAAAAATCCGTAGAGAACCACTTAATAAAATACATGATTGCAGGAACTCAGAATAACTCTGTTATATATTCCAAAAACTACATCTGATTTTTGCTAATTTGGTTCCTTAGTGTTTTACGTGTAAAGACAAAGTGAATAGTTACTACAAGTAAAGAATATTCAGCAATTAACTCACTGCAAAGGGAACCAACCTTCAGCGAGTCTCCCACTGACAAGCACAGGTTTCTATGCAGGTCGCAGCAGGATCAGGATGCAAGTAATTGCACTGAAAATAAACTGAACTTATCTGCAAACAAGCACATCTCAGAATCCTTTCCAAGTCATTTATGCCCAATGCAAGGGAATCACCTTTTTGAAAGAATGCAAAAAGCCACTTGGGATTTGTGGATGATAAATGCTATTTGTCTCGTTTTCTCTATGTACGTGGTGCTCTCTAAAAGTTTACTTCCTTTTTTAACCTAGGAACGCATTTCCTGTACTGTTAGAGGCATCAGCACGGCAAACAATCTTTTCTTCTTATTAGTTCATCTCCTCTGGCTGTCTACTCCTCATCCAAAGCCTAAAACCTTTGAGCCATCTCAATTCCAACTGTAGAGACGAGGTGTGCTTTTACAAAACGCTACCTTTCAGAGTTCAATCATAGGGAACAGGCGGATTCTTAAAGAGAAAAAAATGTTTTCACACATACCTATGATACTGGAAAGGGAAGGAAATAATAAATGACACAAGCAAAATCTTCTCTAACAGGCATGTAAGATACTACTTTGGCAATTAAGGAAGTAATACTGCCTATAGACTGAAAGAAATGCTACAAGTTCTTCCAAGAAGCTTTTGCAGCCTTTAGTTGTGTTTTCAGAGACTGCTTCTCTACAATAGGAGCTGAAAATTCAAATCTGAGCTGCAAGCCAAAGTCATTCTGAGCAGGTTATTGTAGACAAATAAATAAATAAATAAATAAATGGAGGCCCAGTTTAGGCTGGGCAGAGAGCCTGGGTTCTAATGTAATCTTTCCTGCATGTGACACTTGCTGCTAACACTTTACTTCAAAACCAGATTAAAAGGATCTGAACACCTACTTCCTGCTGTTGTTTTTTCCTGGCTGCTTCTTCTTTCTTCCTTTTTTTCTCCTCTTCAATCTATGAAAGGCAATGTTAATGAGTAAAAGGTAAGTAACCATTTCATTTGGTTGTTCTCTACATATCTGAGCCAGCTAGCTCCCCTGGATATCTAATTACAGACAGAACTGGCAGCATGACCTGCAGCAACAACACCATGCCTTATAATTAGGATTGTCTGATACTTCCCACCGTACAACTTTGATTTCATTTGCTTTTATTCACAGCTAAACCAGTTTTAACTGTTCAGAATGCATTTTGCATGCAAAGTGTACACATATAAAAGAATACCTACAAAGCCTGGAAAAGAAATGGTCCTGCCATTTCATGGGGAAAAATGTTTTGCAAATGACTTTAAAAAAAGACCATATTCACTGATATTTTAAGCTCCTGCCTCAAACTGTGAAGACATTACAGTTTCTCAAGAAGCAGTTGTATCCCTTGATGTTCCTAAGGAAACAACTATCCAAATTTAGCCAACTTACAAAACTTCAAAAAAACCCAAAAATCTCATCTTGCACTTGCTTAGGAGAGACCTATCAGTTCTCCAAGGGTTCTGCCAGTACTGAACATCATACTGTTTCCAGGGAAAACATACTGTAGCTGCAGGTTCCACCCAGCAGCTATATACAAACTGCCTTCAAATGCCTTTTTGATCAAAACACCTGGAATTGGCTGAAACTGCATTTTAGTTCTTCCTTTTCTAAAAAACATCTACACAGAAGGAGAAATCTTGGAAAGCTTTCAAAACATTTCTAGTCATGACGGAATTTTACTACTTGTTAAAATTGCAGGCAGACATATGAAGCGTTACTTTTAAATGTTACAAAGTCAAATATTAATGCTATGATGTGCTAAAAAGAGGGGTTTTGTACATGGGTTTTGTTTTCTGTGCATGTGAATTAGAATTCACAAATCTTTATATAGTAACATGTGAATTCTTGCCCCCACACCCTGAATATCTTCACTCATCTACACCACATTAAATAAGATTTAGCCAGTGCATTTTTCTTCTAACATATCAGACAAATACAGTCTAGTTCTATGGAAAATGTCAACTTCATTTGTGCAGACAAAAGGAATCCCAGTTAGCTTCTCACTGGAATCGTTCTTCCAGAGAGATAAGACAGTATGCATGCAATAGTCAACAGCCCTTAATTATATGAAAATCTTAAACAACCAACCTTAGAGGTATTCAATAGGTCCCATACAAAATTTTCAAGAAGCTACTGTTTCAGACATTCTTCTCCTCAACACACTTAAATTTTAGTATCAATTCTCTTATGTTATGTTACGTGTTGCTAAGAATTTTCTTACAAGTTATCAAAAAAATGTAAAAGTATCCATAGCTTATGTGTTACTTTAAATTTAAAAAATACAGAATGCTTAAAACAATAACCTTTTTCTTTTCTTCTCTTTCTCTCAATAAAGTGTCCTTATCCACTAATTTAACCACAGTCGGAAGTCCTAAAGAAGCAAAAACAGATAAATGAGTTTCCAGTGCTTGAACAGTCAAAGATAAACGTATTTACCCTATGATGACTTTTCTTTTTGCAAGCTGAATGCAAATACAACTACCTGCTCAAAAGTGACTAAGAAATCAGATGCTATACAAAAAGATCAAAAAATTGCAATGTATGTTTTTATATTCTATACATATATTCCAATATACAGTTCTATAAAATATATTCATACATCAGAAATATGCTACGCTATAGCTTTGCAGCCCTTGAGTTTGTTAGATTATTCCAGATCAGCCTTGTCAGGTTGTTTTCCTACTTCTTATGAAAACAGTAAGACTATAAAAACAGCTACCTACAAAGTTGCAAAACATAATTGTGTACCTTCATGATCTTCAAATCGAACACCAAGTTCAGGAAGGATGTCATCTCGAAGAGCATCGCTCAACTGCAGCAGCTCAGTTACTACAGAGCATGAAAAATACTTTTAGTGAAGTAAGATTTGGTGAAAGTATACTTCTGTCCTGCTACATAGCTATTTAAACGCAATTAAGAAATTGCCATTCTCTCACACAGCCCAGAGCAAGGTCTTCTGTTTTAGTGATAAACCTTTTAAGTAAGTTCTGCCTTCTTTCAGCTACACAGAGAAGCAGCATGTTTCTTTGCAAGGACTTGAAATTCATAAATTTCTTCCAAGATACCCTCATTGTTCCTGAAGGGGAACAGAAAGAAAATCCAAGGCAATGCAGAAATGATGCAACAATTCTCCCAGGTTATAGTAGAAGGGTGTATGACTCAAGAAGATCCTAATGGTTGCTGTAGGATTTCCAATAAGAAGAGTTAAGAACCCTATTTTAGAAAAATCACAAGTTAACATACCCTGTGCTACATCTAACAGTGCCTTTGAAGGACTATGATTTTCTGGGCTTGATAACTACACGTACATTTGTTAGAGCAACTGTAATTCAACATCCTCTGTTTCTACAGTTAGTTATCTTTACCACCTAGTCTAACCAAGCTGTTTTTTTCCAAGCAAGCTAGTTGCAGCAGAACAGAGAATTTTGATTCGGCTTTCTGGGTGGTGATCAGGACATCATGACTTTTTTTTTTCCCTTGCTAACTTATCAAAGAGCCTTTGATGACAGAAAATGGTTAAGAACTCAAGATTTATCTGAAATAGATGCTATCAGGTCTTAAGAGGAAAATATTTACTTGGATGAGAAACTGTATCAGCCAAGAAGCAGCAGAACGGTTAAGAGGAACTAGATGTATCAAGAAGACCCAGTATGTTGCTGTTGTAAACTTAATTCAGTGGTATTTTTAATAGAGTCTTGTATTTAGGAGGAAACACCAAGTGTGACAAGATAGATACTTGGGTTAGACGATATCATGTGCTCATAATAAACAAGCATTTTCTCTTTCAGCAACTCTCAGCTGGTTAAACCCACGAAGTAATAGGGGTCTCAAAGGTAATAATTCTGGCAGTAGAAGCTACCATCCAGACACCGTACTAACCACCGCACATACCAGTAGACACCACCCCTAAGCCTTCATCTCTTCCATCATTCTCAGAGCCTCAGAGAGCTAAACAGTGAACACAGCACCGACTACCCTAATACCATAAAAAGGCACAGCCACCCTGCTGCATTGCCTGGCACCGCTCTGCAGCCCTCTCTCTGCACAGGAAAGCATTGCAGTCTATAGAAGCTCTTTTGTCTGCCGTGAACTATGTCGTTGTTTTTCTTGATCCAGAGCAGTTACACAGAGTGAACCACATTCATGTTTGGTGCAACTCTAAATAGGCCATTAAGATAAACAAGGGATAAGATTACCTCACTGGCTGTTAACACTAAAAGGTGTTGACTCTAACCTAGGCAAAGGAATTACACATATATATCAAGAATGTATCAGATACACCTACTGCTTATTCAATAAAACAACATCTGCTCAGTTATAGACATTTACTTATCTAAAATCATGAATAATTGAAAGTTTAAGAAGAAATCCATCAAGGTAGAGAATAAGGAGAAATATATAACAAAACATGTATTATTTATGAAAGCACACATCCTCTGATCAATCCTCTGTCATCCAGAGGAGTCAGCATCGTGCTTCTTAGGGCTGAAATGTGCCTGTTCTTTGCATGTGGTACCTCCAGAACAAAGATGTTTAGGGATTGGGAGGGGATTGTTTACGGGCTGCCCCAAGACATAAGCCATTATCCTCACTGAGGACAGTGACCAGGAAACCAGTGGGATAGCACCTTATCACCAGTACTCACAAACACCCTGGCAGATAGGCACTGCTTGAGCCTGTGACTGTTTCCCAGACCTCTTTTCACATTTTCTGTGAATTTCAAGGCAGTCTTGGATGTGAAACAGATGTTGTGAATGGGAACACTGTGATGGGGAGGAAAATGAGACGCTTAAAAAGCATCTTGAGAATGCTGGATGTTAAGACTGGCAGCAAAAGACAAGAGCAGGCATGGTTACAATGACCAAGTTGTCCAATTCTGGTCAACTCATGCTATATTAGGAAGAGGGCAGAGGGTTTCCCCCTGTGTCCTAGAAGCAGCTTAGAGCAAGGCATCACACGGCACCAGCACCCATGGCAGGAAATGAAGATGCAGGCAGAGTTCAGCCACGGACACCTTTACCCCAGGGCAGTCAATTTAAGCAGATGTCCTGAGGTGAGCAACCAACAACAACTGAAGAGACTTGCTCCCGTTTGAACGTCTGAATAACGATTCGCTGCTAGTGAGAATCCTTCCCAGGCGGTGGGGGCTGCACTAGAGCACAGATCTGCTCCGCTGTGCATCGCTGCAGAGACGACTCTACAGGGTCTTTGCAGCTGGTCAAGGACTCAAAACATCAGGATGCTCTGACCAACCAATCATTGATGTCTTTTGCAGAGGGTTTCTGCATTTCTTTCCCTTGTACAGCTGGCACAGTGTTTTCCTTTTTTTTGTTTACCATCATTGCTAGGTATGTTCACAAATTAAGTAGACTCAACCGTAAATAATCAGTGCAGGTCTCCAGTTTGAGTACTAATAGGTTTATAAAATAGAGAATTTATTTTACTATACGTTTGAATGTTAGCCATTCTGGATGTTGGTAACATTTTTGTAGAGTAAATACATTTTGATTCTTAACAAAACCCCATAGTTTTACAAACGGCTATTCTGTGACATGTTTTGTAAAAATAGATACATTTTTTAAAGTTTTTTATATATATATATATGGATGGGGACATTTGTATTACTCTGCAGGTTTTGGAGAAGCAGCATACTTTTTATTTAACTTCTAAGAACATTTAAAGCAATACAGATCATGTTAATTAATATTTAACACCATCCTGCCAGCATTGGGCTGTGGTGGGGAAACTCCCTTCACTTACAACCATGTAGAGGCCAAATCCCCCACCATTAATCAGAACAACTTTGACAGTAATTTAACACTTTCTGCAAGCAAGAATTCAATGGGTACAGGGAAACAAACTAGCAGCATGTCAGTGCAGGTCCTGCCAACCACCACTCAACTCAGCTTCCATATATCAAATAGTTTAATGAGAGGTACCTCCCTGGTTAAACTGCAGCGTGCTCTGTACCCCAACAAAATAGCAATTAGATCCAGCTTTATTCCTACCGCCAATTTATTTCAGGCAAAACCCCAACACCTTCCAAGTAAGAAACTCAAGTGCCAGTAAGCAGTCTGTGCTAAGTACGTTCTAAAAATGCTCTACATAAGGCCCCACGATACTTAAACCTTAACCACTGTTAAGACTGAGAATCAGTTTAGCTCCACCATCAGAAAGCAAGGAAAAAATAAAAAAGCCTCATATAAAATAAGTATTTATGTTAAATACTGAAAGACCAAAGGTCACTTTTTTGGCTAAGGGATATACACACAAACTTCTTGAATTAATTCAAATTACAGAATTTGCTGTTGGAACTAATAAGCCTATTTCTCATCATCAATTAGGCCTACAGGAGTTTGACAGTAATAGCTGGGTAGTCAAATTAACAAACACAGTTTTGTGCTTGCAAGGTAAACTTATTAGCCCTTAGAAGAACTCAAAACAGTAGCAGAATTAGGGTTCAGATTCTTTGCCAGATGAACAGGTTATCAAGCAGACATGACAAGTAATTTTATATTTCTGTATAATATATGGGTTATTTATATATGTTTTACATATAAAAAAATGCCCTATTTTGTCTCCAAGCACAAATTTCAGTGTAAAAAACTTTTAAGAAAATAAGAATCAAAACCATATTGAAGAAATGTAAAATTCCAGAGGGAACAGCAGAAAATACTAAGAGCTCCATTGCAAACTAATCAACCAGTAAAATCAAAGAGGGTTTAATGGAACAACCTTTTTAACTCTATATAGTTCTTCTGCCAACACCGACAGCATGATCAAAGCTTTTCACAGGGGGGAAAAAAAAGTGCCAAAACGACTTCTAGCAAACTCCCAGATGAATTCTCCAAAGAGAGCACTCAGTTACCAGCAGGGGAGCTACAATTCCAACTATGCTAACAAAGAAGAACGATTTATTTAAACACAGACAGTATGGTTGTGTAGCAATTTACACTTTTAAGAGAATGCAAGCTCCCAGGGGGGAAGACATGGGTACTTTCATACCTAGAAAGCAGGGAGTGCCCTAATCTAGAGAAACAACAGCTAATCCTCCTTATTCCAGAACTTTTAGATTCTTTAGGAAATTAAAAGAAAACTAGTTTTAGCAGCCTGTAAAAGATTCCCAAATTAAAGAAACAGGTAGCAGAGATACAAATATTCAAACCAGCTCTGATTTAAAGATGTCTCACTTTTATTCTCCAAGTAAAGAGAGACTGCATCAGTTGGCTCACTCCCCGAGTTTGATTTCTACAACCTTTGAGCCTCATATGCAACAATACAGGAAAAAAAGTGAACGTCTCACCTTTCTTCTCTTTGGCAATTTGTCGCACGCCTTCTCTGAACTCAGAAAGAACTTGTAGGTATGGCATCACTGTAGATTCAATCTGCAGGATAATTATTTCTACAGTTAGCTAATCAGCATTTAGATATAAAACATGTCCTTACCCACTTCGTTTGTATGTGCTGGTGGATGGAACTTGACTCTCAGAGCAGAGCTGTATCAATAAATATAGTCATTGCTCTATTGATGTCAAAGGATAGACGATCACTTGCATTAGCTGTCAAGCTTCCTTTTGTGCAGGTAAAATCAACTTGTGAAGTTCTGCCTCTCCCCATTCCTTTTTTGTCTCCTTTCCGTTACAGATAAATCAGTTCTGCAGGGTTATGCTACAGTCCAGCTAACTGTAATGCAATACAGGGATTAAAAACAGCACCCAGACGAATTCGCCCCTTCACATTCTGTGTCGTCTTACTTACATCCAACTGCTTGTCAGACATAATACCAGATGAAACTGATGTTAGGACTTACTTTCATTAGAACATAGATCTGTCCCTCAGGTGTTAGCTTATGGTAATTGTATTTATTTCCAATACAGTGCAGTTGTCTGTATTCCTCACACAACTCCTCCCCCACAAAAAGTGGGGAGAGATTACTGTTGAATTATTTCAGGTGTAAGTAGTAAATGCTGGTCATGAAAGTTCAAAGACCAAGTCCTGAGAATCCTGCTCTCAATGGTAATGAATAGCAACAGCAAGCAGCTAGTGAACAGGAGTGAACCATTACAAAAACAACTGCAGATCAGCACTGTCTGCCAACACTTTTCTGGAATCCCACAAGGAGAAGCCAGACACCCAGGACACTGCTTAAATTAAAAGTTTCATTAGTTTGGAGGGTAGGGGAGAGAGAGAAAAAAAAATGCACACTTTTGTTTCCCCTACGGTTTCCACGAGTCTTTCCCATCTGTTAAATCTCCATGACAAATTTCTGTCCAATTAACAGACAAGATCGTCTGTTATGTTTTAAAAGTGCCCATATGAAAGGAGGTCAGTGGCTCTTAAAACTTCGTAAATGTGAACACTGTGGAACCCTTGCTGACAAGTCAGTGAGCAATGGTCACATCCCCACTACCCCCTCCACACTGAAACTAGCTCAACGTGCAAATGAAGTGGTGTCAGGAAAACATGCACTGTCGCTTCTTTATCAGTCATTTAAAGACGAAAGATTTTTATTTCCAAAATAACTAACTTGACAGCAATGCTTAATTCATTTGGAAAACGAGACTATGGAACCTGAGGTTTTCTGACTTCAAACCTCTTCTATCCCCTTTCAAGTAAATTACTGAACCATGGTAATGAAGCTGGTTGTTCTTTCAGACGTTTTCAAGAGGATTATGCCTTTTTTGGAGATAATGACTTTATTGGTACCTTCATCTCCAATTTAGACAAAGAAAAAATAGGCCGGATGATCCACAGCCTTCTGTAATTAATCAGAAGTTTTCCAACCTTGAATGTTCACCTGGTAATTTTTGCTAAGAAAAATAAGAATCTGCACGGAAGACTGAAAGAGGGTATAATATTTAATGAAACAGCCAAAAACATGTGTGATTTTATGCATTTTTATATTATAATGCTTAAAATCAGTAATGTCCTAGGTGTTTTTACAGAAGTTTCTTCTAACAGGTGTTAGCACACGATTCTTGCTGCACAAGATTCTTCTGACTCTACTACCCTTGGCAGCATTACTTTAAAGGAGTACACGATTCTTGCTGCACAAGATTCTTCTGACTACTACCCTTGGCAACATTACTTTAAAGGAGTGAAAGGGCTTAGCTTCTTGTTCCAAGCTATTGCAAATCCTTCCATAAAGCATATCTGTTTTAAACACTGCCTGAATTAACTGCTCAATATGAATTTAATCATCATTTGACCTAAAAATTTAAGTGTTAAGGTGCTGCCTTTCTTCTGAAATTCAAAATAATTCTGAGCTAAATTAAAATTCACTATTGATGGGTTTTGGCATGGAATACTGAGCATCTTCCTTATTATCCTTGTTACATCATTACTGGAGATTTCTACAGCACAGTAATGCAAGTATTTGCATGGGCAATTACCAGATGAGTGTTCATTCACATTATTCAACCACAAGCAAGCTTTCCTCTTCCTTTGATGACTAAAAAAAATTAGCTTTTTTGTTACACCACAAATGTTTTAACTATTCCTTCTAAGGAGGAACAGAAAAACATATGGTCACACCTTTGAATGCAGAAAAATACTTGAAAAAACAGCACTGATTAGTCCATGTCAAATTTTTCACATGAATGAAGACAGCAAAGTTGATAGCTTTCATGTAGTTACTTCTCCTGCCTGCGCCATGAAACATTACTGTGATTACAGGGCCCACCAGCACTTTCATCAGGTATCTCCCAAGTATTTCCAAAAAAAATTCTGCATCACAGTGGAACTGCTGGGTGACCAAAGCAAAACAGCCTTCAAAAGCCAGATAAAAACTGTGGCTACAAATGAGATGAGAAAAAGAGATTGAAATGTGGATAAAACTCCAGCTGCCTCCAGGCTGGTTTTTGGTATACCACAAAGATGTTTAATCAGTATAATTATATTTTTGAAACTACTTAACACACAAATACTTGTAATGAGTCTTTAGACTGTAGCATGTGCTGTCTGTAGTTAACATGTGGTTTCTTAAACAAACTCATCATTCAGAAGACAAGATAATTCTTTTTCTGGTTGCTATACAATTTGTCTGTCATTAAGACAAACCAACCTATAAAAAACCCCAACTCTCATAAAAGCAAAATCCTGCTTCCTAAGCCAATTCATTACTTCAGATTCAAATGTTAAAAGCAGAAAGAATATAATTCGGCTACATATCAGTAATGTAATCACTTTATCTTTGAAAGGACACAGAGTGATTTCGTATAGTGTACTTCATCCTTCACTTACATTTATGTTTTGACTACTCCCTCCAACAGGAAAACCAATTGCATCATCACTTTCTACGGCACCAAAAATCTGGTCAAGGGAAAAAAAAAACAAAACCATCAAGTCACAGGTATGTGAAAACTAAGCAAAATCACATGTACGACGGTTTTGAAGCCACCTAGTTCTCATTTAACCCACAATTCACTGCTCTAGTAAGAACCACAGAATCACAAAGTGGTTGGGGTTGGAAGGGATCTCTGGAGATCATCTAGTCCAACCCCCTGCTAGAGCAGTGTCACCCAGAGCAGGTCACACAGGATTGTGTCCAGGCAGGTTTTTAATATCTCCAGGGAAGGAGACTCCACAGCCTCCCTGGGCAGTTCCTGTTCCTCAAAGAAAATAAATTTTTCCTCATTTTCAGGTGGAAAGAAGATGTTTTGATTTTCAATTGATAGAGCATACTAAGCATTGGCTTTCAGATTTAGCTTTAAAGCTGTCAGATTTGTCATTCTGACCTCACATTTTTTCTGCTATCTAATTTTCCTTGCATGTATCAGGGGCTCTCCACTGTTCAACAAAATATTAGCTGAAATTATAATGTAACATAAAGGACTCCAAATTGTTCCTTCTGCAGCACACACTGCAATTTGGAGTTGTTTTGGTTGAGGTGTGTTTGGAAGATCTCTAGTTTCCTACAAGATTTAAACAAAGACTGTACAGATCCCTATATTCTTCAAAAATACAACAGTTATAATGGCACAGTGCAATAGCAACGTTACTACTTGCTATTACATACCTTCAGCATTTGAGTGAGATACAAACTGATGTTTTCTAAAAGAAGTCTGTTTGGGATTTGTCTTGAAGATTTCTTTGCAGCAATATAGGAGTTACTCTGACTGACGAGTGAACGCATTTCTTCTAAGACAGAGCGAGTGTCAATATTGTCACACAGTGCTTCATGAATTGCTGCCTTCTTGTCGTAAAAACTAAGAAGAAAAACATTTTTTTTACTATTGATGTCAAAAGTATCTGCAACCCACTCTGAAGAATCTCTGTTAGAATAGTAAGGAGACCTAAAAGTGAGATAATATTTTGTTGGTCATAGTTTACATTTGAAGGAAAAACAGATGAGCAAGAAAAAAGGCATTATCACGATGCTGCTGTTTTGCTGCTACAGATAAGGGCAGGCAGGATAATCTAATTGGCAACAACTATCTGAACAAATTACATCAAACACTTTTTCAGCAACTGACCTTTTCATACCATTTTTTTAAAGCAGTATAAATTGCTTATTTAGTACCTTCTTATACTCACTTATTTTTTTTTCACAGTATTGCTCTCCTATCCCTATGTACCAGCCAAGTACTCTGCTTAGGATCTTTCCAGCAAGAAGCACCAATTTGGAAGTTAACTTACTACAAAGTGAAGTGTTATGAAGCTGTTACAAGCATATACAAGGAATAAGTTCATGCAAATGATTGTAATGTTCATGAATATGCATAATAAATAATACAGCATATTAAGTACCATTTCATCACACAAGAGGTACTACTGTTTCAAACAACACAGTTTTTCTAGAGAAAAGAGAATGAGAAGTGGTAGAGAAAGAAGACAAACCCAAATATCCATGAAGCATATCTTCTTTTCCTCCCACTCCTTTGTCCCTTCCTTTTGACCTCTCTATTACTTACTCTCCTCCCCCTTTTTTAAAAAAGGCTCTACCAGCCTCAAGTTGAAGATGAAGTTTTCAGAGAACATCACTAAACAGAAGCATCTACATTTGATCCTTCAATAGTCAACATCTCTGTCCACAACAATGAACTGAACTAGGAACAATTTTAGTACTGCAACTTAAGATGCTTCTATTTTAAATTTCACACTTAATAGAAGTCATACAGGAAGCTGTTCGTATTACAAACAATAATGATAGTTTTGTTATAAAAGTGAAAGACTGCAATATTGACATCACTGTCTCTCTCAGTAACACATTTTCAAACATTGGCACTCTGATCTTTTGTGCTTTTAGTCACGTCATTTAATTTCTGTTTGTCTCAGCTTGCTCACCGCACTCTGAAATGTATAAAATACTATTCTTCCAGTTGTAATCACTGTGAATTATCGGTCATTTCTCTCTATACAGACAGCATTTCAAGCAGTGAAGAAAATTACAGCTATCTAACAAAAAAGTTCTCTTTCCCTTCACAAACAGGGTGATGAGGCATGCTGGTGTACTTAAACAAGAGGGAAATTAACAATTTCACCTATACTTCATAAAGCTGTTGCAAGATTAAATTCATTAGCTTGTATAGAGTTGGGGTACTCAGTGGAAACGCTACAGCCTTATAAATATCTCTACATACGTACTAAGTTATTTTGCAAGGAAAAAAAAAAGGATTAAACATGTAGCTACACAACGGCAATTCACAGAGAAGTAGGAATGCTGCACTCACTTTTTGTTCAGCTCTGCTTCCTGATTTTCCCATTTCTGAAACTGGCCTGTCACATCAGTGGGAGCTCGAAGAATATCCTTCACATTTAAAAAGAACTCCTGTAAAAGAAGAATAGAGCTAAAAATCAGTTTAAATTAGACACAACCAATATTTAACATGAAAAGGCATTATTTCTTAATTAGTCTCCTAAAGGTTATGATTTCAACAGTGTTTCAGCCAGAATCTACTGAACATCTGTCAAAACAAGGAAACCCACACATTTTGCATAGCTCTGTGAATCACAGTTGGACTGTAATTCAGTTCCATCTCTTGGCTCTGCCACTGCATGACACACTATGATACTCTAACACCAAGCTGTTCAAATAAAATACCATTTCAAAAAAGTTTAGGCAAGAGTTCTTAATGGCAGATTTTTAAGTGTGTTGCTAGCAAAGGAAGCTGAAGAGCAGAAGTGGCTTCATACCAAGGTCCTATTTTATGTGGGCATCCAGCTTGGTGAAAAGTCATTTTAACTTGTTCTGTGGCCCAAACCAAACATTTTACATAAAAAGCGTAATAGCTTCAGCTGGAGAGACCAGGATCAACGATGTCAAAATGCTGTACAGCCTCCTTGTCAGAAACACGGGTTTAAATCACCCAAACTGAGCAAGGGAAAGAACTGTGCCTGATCCCTCAACATATGCCTGGCAAGGCATAGAGGCAAATGCTCGATGTATGTGGTGAGGAGACAAGGTAGGAATGATATTCCCTCTTCCCCTTTGGCTATATTTGTGTAAAGTCTGATCTGGTAGACATGTTACGAGAGCATCTGTTGGACTGAGTCCTACAAGCAAGCTGAACTGAAAAACTAAACTCCTGCCTAAGTGCCAAGCTGCTCAGAGATGTCAAAACTTGGAGAGAGCACCCAGCTGCAGAGAAACGTAGCCGTCTGTGGAATTTACATGACTTGAATATTCAATGGTAGCTAAACGAATACTGTGACATCCCACCTGATGAATTCATAAGGCAAACTCAGTCTGTGGATATGGCTCATATATCCTTAAGTTCTGTTCCTTGAAACACATACGACAACACAAAGCTTAGAGAGCTGGAAGACGAACGGAAAGCTTACTTACATTCATAAACTTCTCATACTGAATAGCTGACTCCATGGTATTATTTGAATAATCCAGTGTATCCTTCCAAGAGTGCATGAGGAAAGCCAACCGTAACTGTCGTGCTATTAGGAGTTTTAAAATACACAAGGAAAATAATCACAATCTAAAGCATTTTTATGGCCTCCAATACTGCAGTGGCTGAGGATGTAGTTTTTAACATTCTTGTTGTCAACACATCTACCATAAAAGCAAGAGCACTATTATTCATACAGATAACACTGACAAGGAACAGAATAACACAGAAGCTGTTCTGAAGTTAGTGAAGAAGGACACCTAAGTTAGCCATTTTTGGAAACTCCATTATGTGCCTGAATAACAAAATTACTACAGTCACCACTCAAAGTACACCAAAAGCATTCCAATTCCAAAGTAATTTTTACCTGTATGTTTCTTCAGTGCATCTTTTATGGTAATAAAATTCTTCAGAGATTTGGACATTTTACAGCCAGCGATTGTTAAGTGGCCAGTATGCAGAAAATACCGAACCCAGTGATCATTTTCAAAGTATGCCTGCAGCAAAAACAAAAAGCCCGGAAGACCCAACATTATTTACATCATACCATGAAGCAGGTTAATTTAAGAATAAAATCCTGAGAACAAAAAGTTATGCTTATACCAAACACACATAAAGTTTTAAAAATTAATTGATGGGTATGTGTAGGTTGCAGTCAAAGCAAAGCACGTCGCTTTTTCACAGCAGGAACTGAAGGCCACTTCATTCACCTCAGACTGTGCCAGTTCATTGTCATGATGGGGAAATCTGAGATCAAACCCTCCTCCATGAATATCCATCGACTCCCCTAGAATGGATCCAGCCATCGCGGAACATTCAATATGCCAACCTGGACGACCCTGTTAAAAAAAAGACATTACTTGGCTGCTGGTTAATCGTCTTCCTCTCCTGCCTGTGCATCACTCCCTCATTGGTCTGCCCCTAAGCAGTTACATACCTGAGGAAATGAGATAGAGCATTACCAAGAGAAAAAGATTCTCAGTCCCAGCTTCATAAAAGTATACTGTTGGATTTAAAGATCAAACACAGCATATACATCTGTGATGCTCCGATTATCCTACTTATTATTCGTCAATATTTTTGACCACAAGAAAAAAAATTATATAGAAATTACTGCAGATAAAGCCTGTAGATGAATAAAGGACAAATGACCAGAAACAGCCATCATGAGCCTGCATGCAAACTTCTGTTTAAAGAGTATCAAACAGACAGATTGATACAGATTCTAAATTATTAAATGAACATAGCAACAGAATCTACCATTGAACACACTCATAATCTATACCTTATTAATATGAGGTGAGGCAAAGTATTTGTGTAACATGCTATTTAATAAGGTGTAGAAGATCTAAGTCTTGATTATAACGTCCTTACCCTTCCCCATGGAGAGTCCCATGAGGGCTCTCCTGGCTTCGAGGATTTCCACAAAGCAAAATCATTTGGAGAGTGCTTCTCACTTAAGCGATCAGCTGAGATGCTCAGGTCACCTTTCAAAAGAGAAAATGTGAATACATACATTTTATTTAAACACCAGCATTATTGATTTTGGGCCTTGCTGTACACCACAAGAAGTGAATTAAAAAAGTAAGTAAATAAAAACCACTCAGCCCTCAAAATTCCTCATCATTACCCTTAATAATTCTTTGGGCTTTTGATTAATGCTTGGTTGACAGGAAATCTGACAACAAGTATCACCTGCACTGCCTTCTAAGTTTTGACATGAGATTTATCTACATTCTCTCTGCAGGCACAATTCCAATATTGCAGTTACACAAAAAGAAATACAGAAACAAAAAATCTTATACTCATAGACAAGTAAGACTGCAGAACCAATTCACTCCAAAGTTAGAAAGATACAAACTAAGAATAGGACTGTCTTAATCTGCACACACAACATGATCATAGGATATTTCTTCTACCCCTAACCTCAGCTGCTGCACAGAATGGCTGGTAGTTGTTCAATAGCTACGTTTACTGTTTTGTTACCATCACAGATCTGTTATGCATTATTTGCTGTTAGCTTCTCATGGTCATTTAAGTGGTACTCTCATTATAACATCTTTAAAACACAGGGAATTTACCACCTCTGCAGCACTGACACTAAAAGTGGTAACAATCTTACTGCATAAGAATCCAAGACAGATTAAAAACAAAATTGTCAAGGGTAAATTTGTGAAATAATTCTGATGTACAGTTGAGATACCTGCAATCTCAATCGTTTAGAATATCTAACATTATGCACTTTAAAGATAAAAAAGTATTATGCTTTTATTTACATTAATTGCAACTTTGCACCTTAGCATTTCTGCTGCCTGTAATAGTCAAAATGACGTTATCTGTCAGGGTAAGGACAATCATCACAAATGAGTCAAAGCAGCTTGGTTAGTTACTTTAATCACTCAGCATCAATTCCTATTTGCAAAAGGACACAACAATTCAACAAAAGCGACTGGTTACGTGGTGGAAATGATCTATTCATGGTACCATAAACATGGTGGTTTAACTTAGCACTTTTTATTTCAGCTATAAAGGTTTTTAATTAAGAAGAAAAAAAAAACACATCCATTTTAAGCTGCATCTCTCAGCTATTGGTATAAGTGCCCTAATTTCAGCTTTTAATATTCTTCTGATAGACTTTGTGGATGATTCACTACTAAAACTGTACAACCTTAGGAGCAGATAACCAATGAGTCTGGTTTATTGAGCATTTTAAGCTACGCCCCTGCTATAGCTCGACTCAAAAAAATCCCTGTATTTGGATTTAGTTGAACACAACAAGGTTTACAAAGTGAAAAGAGTTCTCATGAAATAACCACGGCCTGATGTGGAGAGCTTTCACCTTGCATGTGGAAGACCCAGCTTCAAGTCTTTGCTCCTCCTACTCTGAAGCAGATGAACAGCCAAATAACTGGGCTATAGCCAAATGACTGAGCTATTCACAATTCTGACCAAAAACCCCTCCAAACAAACAAATAAAAAAACAACCCAAAAGTATTCTAGAATGAATAACGTTTCTTCGTTTCTTGGTATTTCCAATCAAAAACTTTCAGGAAAGGGCTGGCTCAAGCTACAAAACTTTGGAAAATAAATCTATTGGTACCGGAAGAGCAGCAGGTAAACCATTCAACTCTGACAACAACTTTGATCCAAATGTCAGTGAAACCAATTGAAGAGACTAACACATCATCAGTTTCTGCAGCAACTTAAGCCAATGTTACTTCCCCTTTTTACCTTCACCCTCCTGAAGAGCTTTTTGATCACCCACAGCTTCAGGAACCAACTTAGCATAGGAGTGTTTTTGACTGGAATCAAACTTCACAGTATCAAAGTATACAGATCCATTGGACACATACCTGAAAAGTTAAAGATCATTATATTTAGCTAACTTTCCACCAAGACTTAACTGAATTTTGTCCCAAAATCAGTCTTAAACTTAAGTCTTCTAGCGAAAGCACATACAGTATGGTACTGCTCAGTATTGTAAAGATGACTTAGGTGAGCCTAAGTTTTAAGCCCTTACCAAAAAGACTTCAGACAAATTGAAAGTCATAATAAAATTGATCAAAGGGAAAACAACTAACATCTTTTGTAAACTCTTAAGAGGTGAGACGTCAGATAACAGCCTTAAGAGAAGAAATACCTACAGTATGGTCCCTTTTAATATTCTGCAGTATTATACTATGAATCATTTTTGTTTCACAGTTCATTTTGTCTTCCTTCACTTTGCTAATTTTGTCCCAATAAAGGCATAATAAAAACTCTGACACAAAGCTAAGTTTCAGTACCACTAGGAACGCTGGTAATTCAATGCAAACAATTTTGAACTGTGCCCCCCCCTTTTTTTTTTAAAGAAAATTTTAAAATGTAGGTTTAAAAGAACATCCAAGAGAAATTATGGCAGTCTGGACCACAGGTTTACTTTTTTTTCCACAATAAAAATACATCCATGTTGAAAAATTCAGGCTACTAACAGAAAGAGAACTCAAAAATTTCAGATGGGAATCTATCATGATATTTAGGAACTTCCAGAATATTAGCTAGATTTTCACAAGTATTTCACAACAGCAGAAAAACAGTTCACAATTTCTTGGTTTTAACTTATGTTATTTACAACTGATTTCCAGCCCTCTACTCAGGCATCCATTTTTGAAACCCCTTGCTAAAGACCAGAAGTCAAACACAGTTCAAGTGAATGAGACTTTGAGTTTATTTTAATGAATGAGGATTTCACCCTATAAATTTAATAATCTAACTTCTCTCTTTGTAAGACATCATAGAAAGTATAGAATAGCAAATTTTCACCAGGTGAGAAATAACAGGTCTTTTGCAAAGCAACCTGAAGTTTTTTTATTTGATGAAACACTACTTCTGGAAAAGATTACTAGTGCATATGGAAACAGAGAAAATAGTTCACAGTTAAGTGCTGAAAGTGATCATTCTAGCTCTGATACAGTCTAAGTGCACAACAAAAGCATCCAGTAGCAAACTTACCCATAACCATTATCCACAATCTTTTTCACAAAATCCACAATCTCTGGCACATATTCACTGACCCGTGTTAAAACATCTGGAGGTAAAACCTATGGATAAAAAGTAGAATTTTATTTTATACATTAAATATAAATATTTACACACATGCATCTATATATGCACTAAATATATATATTATACATTGGTTAAAATTGGCTCAAAAGCAAGCAACAGTAGAATCTAAGACTTCTATTTCAAGCTTTCTGCTCTGAAACAATGTGCTGTGGCCATTTTTTCCTCAGCCTTTAAGGCGACGTTAACAACAAAGGACTGCAGGAGATGTCAGCTCTTCCATTTACTGTACTTCTGACAGGACAGGCAAAAGTCCCTCTGATTTGCAGGTAGATAAATAAACCTTCACTGACCTGAACCATTGCATGTGACATAGCATTTCATCTTTAACAGACAAATTTGTCCTTGATTGTTATCATTACCCATTTCTTAGTGGCTGAAGACTGGTAAATAGTCTAAATGCTGAGGCTGGCAGAGCTCTCTTATGCAGCTAACAGACTATCTCAAACCTCTGGATCAATTCATGATTACAACCCTCTGTTACACCATGGGGAAGGGATGGAGTGCACACATCAGACTTGATCACCAGTTAACTGGCTCTGGTAACATGCATAACTGATGCAGGATTGTTGGGATGGAAACAGAACAGGTGCTATTTAAGAGCTACCTATTCAAACTAAAGGAAATATTTTATCAATAAGGTTGAAATATGAGGTTTCTGAAAGCTATTAAGGAGCTGAATTGCATTCTGGGTATTATGAGGCATGGCACATACACCTTTAGAACAGAAAACAGTTTGTTTACTTACATTGAGTGCTTCCATATCTTTATGAAATTCCCCTTCCCAGAATTTGGGGAGCTTTGAGAATATGGAATTGTCAGTCACTTGACTGCCAAATTTTGTGTCCAACCAGTCAGACAGCAAATCTTTGGCTTCTTCCAACAGTATCTGTAAAACAGCAATTGTAAGTGCAATTGATCAAGTAATCATGTCTGGCTAGGGACATCAAAGACAATAAGAAGGGATTCTTCAAATACATCGGTAGCAAAAGGAAGACCAGGGAAAATGTGGGACCTCTGCTGAACGAGGCAGGTACCCTGGTGACTGAGGATACAGAGAAGGCAGAGTTACTGAATACCTTCTTTGCCTCAGTCTTTACTGCTAAGGCTGGTCCTCAGGAATCCCAGACCTTGGAAGCAGGAGAGGAAGTCTGGAGGAAGGAAGACTGCCCCTTGATCGAGGAGGACTGGGTTAGGGATCTCTTAGCCAGTCTGGACACTCAAAAATCCATGGGCTGCGATGGGATGCACCCACAAGTGCTCAGTGAGATGGCAGATATTATTG